AATAAATAAATAAATAAATAAATAAATAAATAAATAATTTTTAAAATAAAAAAAAAAAATGTCTGCCAAATTTTATAGACCAGGCCTTCTGTTTGTTGAGACTTTCTTGATTATTTTTCAGTCTCTGTAGTTGTAATCATTCTATTCAGATTATCTGATTCTTCTTGATTCAGTTTTGGAAAATTGTATGTTTTTTGGAATTTATCCATTTTGTCCTGATTATCTAATTTGTTGGCATATAGTTCTTAATATTTTCTTACAATCCTTTCTATTTCTTTGGTGCCAGTTATTACTCTTTCATTTCTGATTTTATTTGGGTCCTCTCCTTTTTTTTTTCTTAGTGAGTCTGGTTACAGACTTGTCAATCTTATTTATGTTTTCAGAGAACCAGCTTTTTATTCTATTGATCTTTTGTATTTTTTAGACTCTTTTGTTTATTTATGCTCTGATCTGTATTATTTGCTTCCTTCTGCTCACTTTGGGCTTTGTTGGTTTTTTCAGTTACCCTTAAGTATAACGTTAAATTACATATTTGAGATTTGTTTTGTTTTTTGAGATAAGCCTGTAATGCTATGAATTTCCCTGTTAAGACTGCTTTTACTGTGTCTCACACATTTTAGGTTTTTGTGTTCTGATTTTCACTTGTTTTAAGGTATCTTTTGATTTCTTCTTTAATCTCATTATTAACCTATTTATTGTTTAGTAACATGTTATTTAGCCCTCAAGTCTTTTTTGTTGTTTTTTTTTAAGATTTTATTTATTTATATTTAGAGGAGAGGAAGGGAAGGAGAAAGAGAGAAACATCAATGTGTGGTTGTCTCTCATGTACCTCCCGCTGAGGACCTGACCTGCAACCCAGGCATGTGCCCTGATTGGGAATTGAACCAGCGACCCTTTGGTTCACAGGCCTGTGCTTAATATGCTGAGATACAGCAGCCAGGGCTGTTTCTTAGTTTTTTGTTTTTTATTGTAATTGATTTCTAGTTTCATACCACTATGTTCAGAGAAGATGCTTGTTATGATTTTAATCTTCTTAAATTTATTGAGACTTGTTTTGTATCATACCATGTGGTTTATTCTAGAGAAAGTTTCAAGCGCACATGGAAAGAATGTATATTTTGCTGCTCTGGGGTGAAATGCTTTGAAGATACCAATTAAATCCATCTTGTCTAATTTGTCCCTTAAGGTTACCATTTTCTTGTTGATTTTCTGCTGGGAAATCTAGCCATTGATGTCAATAGGGTGTTAAAATTCCCTACTATGACTATATTACTGTCAGTCTCTACGTCATTCAAAATTTTCTTTACATATTTAGGTGCTCCTCTTTTGGGTGCATAAATGTTTACAAGGGTTACTCTTATAGGATTGTCCCCCTCTTTATTATGTAGTGTCCTTTGTGTCTTACCATATATAGCCTTTTGTTTTAATGTTTGTTTTGTTAGATATAAATATTGCTGTCCCAGCTTTTTTTCATTTCCATTTGAATTATATCTTTCTTCATACCTTTACTTCTTAGTCTGTGGGTATCTTTCATTCTGAGGTGTGTCTCTTGTAGAAAGCATATATGTGGGTCTTGTTTTCTTATCTACCCCGCTGTCTTTTGATAGGAACATTTAGCCATTTGCCTTAAAATGATTATTGATAGGGACCCATTTATTGCCATTGTATTCTTTTAACTATGTTCCTCGGTTTCTTTTCTCCTCCTTCTTCTCCTTTTCCTCTCCCCATTGTCCTCCTCCTTCCTCTTCTTCTTTGTGGGATCTTTAACATGTTTTGTAATACTGGTTTGGTGGTACCAAATTCATTTAGCTTTTTCATGTGTTCAAATCTCTTTATTTCTTTTGAAATTTTAAATGATAGCTTTCTGGGTAAAGTTTTCTTGGTTTTAGGTCTTTGCTTTTCATCATTTTGAATATTTTATGCCACTTCCATCTGATCTGAAATGTTTCTTTTGAGAAATCAGCTGACAGTGTTTTGGGGGCTCCCTTGTAAGTAACTAGCTGTCTTTTTCATGCAGCTTTCTTTTTTAAACAGCTTTTATTTATTTACATTTAGAGAGAAGGGAAGGGAGGAGGAAAGAGGGAGAGGAACATCAATGCACACATTGATGTGCATTGGTTGCCTCTCACGTGCTTCCTAATGGGGACCTGGCCCACAACCCAGGCATGTGCCCTGACTGGGAATTGACCCAGTGACTCTGTCGTTCACAGGCCGGCATTCAGTCCACTGAGCCACAACAGTCAGGGCTCATGTAGCTTTTAAGATTCTCTTTGTTTTTAACCTTTGGCATTTGAAAAATAATGTGAATTGGTGTGAGCCTTTTTGGGTCCATCTTGTTTGGGACACTGCACTTTCTGGATTGTGTGTTTTTTTTCCTTCGCTGGGTTATGGATATTTTCATTCATTATTTCTTTAAATAGCTTTTAATCTCTTGCTCTCTTTTCCTCTTCTGGTAGTGCGATTATGTGGGTGTTGTTATGTATCATGTGTTCCAAAGGTCACTTACCATACTTATTTATTTTTTTCTTTTTGCTGCTCTGATTGGGTGCTTTTTTTCTACCTTGCCTTCCAAAACAGTGATTTGATCCTTTGCTTTATTCAACTTTATTTTTTCCAGTGTATTCTTCATTTTAAGTATTGTATTCTTCATTTACGATTGATCCTTTTTTGTGATTGCTATGTTGTTTTCATGTTGTTGAGCATCCTTGTACCATAACATTAACCTTTCTCTCTGATAAAGTTTATCTTTATCAGATAAACTTTCTGTTTCTTTATCTCCCCATTGGATGCCTTTTTGTATATGTTTCTATTTAATAGATAGGTCTTTTAAGTCTTTGTAGGGTGGCCTTGGAGCAGTTTCTTTGATCATCTGAATTGGGTGCTCCAGGAATGTTTTTTGTGTGTGTTTGGTGGACTCCCCTGTTATAATTGAGTCTTGATTGCTATTGGTCTATTCGTTCTTGGATTGACCCTCAGGCTGGCTGAGTAGGGTGCTGAACCTTGACCATGGTATGTGAGCTGCCATGGAGGTGCTGATGATGTGAAGCAGAGTTCCTTTTAGCGTGGTTTGGTGCCTGCTGAGATCTCCCATTGGGTATGCTGCTTGTGAAGCTTATTGGATCCTGTTCTGCTATTGTCTAAAGCAGGCCACTGGGTGTTTTGGTTCTGGGCCTCTCCAGAGGGACGCTGGTGCACCCCAAGGTCATACCCTGTTTGTGACTGACCCTTGGCAGTCTGTTTGGAGCTATAAGTGATCCACAGTTTGTGCCTGCCTCTGCTGGGCCAGGGTGTGCATGAGAAGGACGAGCTGTGCATGAAAGTTGGCTGTTGTTACCAGCACCAGGTTTGGGGGAAGGTCAACAAAATTCCCAAGGCTCCCTGATGAGATTCACTACCGTCTGCCTCCACTTGCCAGCTACCTGGCTCAGTGACTTTAAGAACCTCTGTGTATAGACCTCAGTAGAGTATAAGCTTCACTGAGTGGGTTGAGAGGGAGTCCAGAGTGTGGGGTTATTACTTTTCCCTGTGCTGATGCCTCACAGAGGAGAGTGCTCCTACCAAGAAAGATGGTGTTTCCTGAATGGATGCGTGACTCAGCTCTGGGATCCTGCCAGCTGTCCTTTTAGCTTCCTCCCCAGAGCCACAAAGCCCGGACTCTCGTTTGCTCTGCCCTGTTTCTGCTGAAGCCCAGGCTGAGTGGCTTTGAATGAAATTGTCTGTGTGGCCCTAGAGAGGGTGCCTTTGTCTCTAGCAGACTCCTGCCTATCTCTGGCAGAAAGAAACTCCCCTGCTTTTCACAGGCAGATTTTAGATGGGTGCCTCTTCCCAGCTCTGGTTCTCTGGGCTGGAGGGCCTGGTTTGGGGTTTAGATCCTGTGCCTCTCAGGGGGAATCCCCTGCAACTGAGCTATCCCTCTGGAGCCACAGCTGCCCCCTGTAGGAGTGGGGTCGGCCCTATTCATGTCTCTTCACCCTTCCTATCAGTCTCAACGTGGCTTCTTTTTTTTTTTTTACTTTAAGTTTTTATTTTTTAAGTATCTTATTAACTATGTTATCACAGTTGACCCATTTTTTTCCTCCCCTTTATTCCCCTCTACACTGCACCCCCCCCCCCACCAGCACTTCCTCTACTCAGCTCATATCCATGGGTCGTACATATAAGTTCTTTGGCTTCCCCATTTCCCATACTATTCTTAACCTCTCCCTGTCTGTTTTGTACCTACCATTTATGCTTCTTATTTCCTACACCTTTTCCCCCATTGCCCTCCTTCCCCCTCCCCACTGCCAACCCTCCCTGTGGTCTTCATTTCTGTGATTCTGTACCTGTTGTAGTTTGCTTAATTTTTGTTATTGTTATTTTTTAAGTTCAATAAATGTTTTATTTTTTAGGTTTGCTAATAGTTGTGAGTTTATCGACATTTTACTGTTCATAGTTTTGATCTTTTTCTTAGATTAGTCCCTTTAACATTTCATATAATAAGGGCTTGGTGATGAAGTCCTTTAACTTGACCTTTTCTGGGAAGCACTTCCATGCTAAATGATAGCTTTTTTGGGGTAGAGTAATCTTGGATGTAGGTCCGTGCCTTTCATGGCTTCTTCTATAAATCCTTGATGATAAGACTTCTCTTCAGCTAGTCTTCACTTAGTTACTCAGGATGATTGTTCTATAATTTAATTGTAATTCCAGCTTTATCCTGAGAGGAGGTGAGTGTAGCTTCCACCTACTGTACTGCCATCTTGGATAGAGTGTTTCATTATTTAATTTTTAGTGAACTTATGAGGTTTGTATTATTCTCAATTAGAAAACTGGATTTGAAAGGTATAATCACACATTCTTATCTTCACACATTATAGTATAATATTATCTTCCTGTAAGCACTTAGAATGTTGATCGTGATCCATAAAGTTCACATATTCAAAGCATAATAGGAATTACATTATTTAGAAAATTGCTTTAATGTCAGTGACCTTGTAATGTGCTTAAAAAATATTCTCTTACAGATCAGAGGGCTGATATTAGATGGATCTCGACAGATAATCCAAGAAAGTTTAAAAAATGGCTTCCTTCATCCGCTTTCTGAAAAATCGGAGAAGTGTAGTGAGCCTGTTGCTTTACCACTGGATACCTGCAATTTGTCAGAATTATGTGAAATGGCAAAGCATTTGCCTACTCTGAATGAAACGGAACTTCTGACATTACAATTGAAGGAAAATGATATGTCTGTTACAGAGCAGGATTTATTTTTACGGCTTGTTGAAAACAACTCCAGCTTTACAAAAATCATTACTTTAATGGGACAGAAATACCTTGTGCCACCAAAAAGCTGTTTTCTTTTGTCTGACATTTCTTGTATGAACCCACTTCTGAATTGTGAGTAATTATTATCTTTATTATTAGAAAAAGAATTTTTCTCTGGCCTCAGAAATCAAGACTTTGAATAGGATAAACACTGAATTTTCTCAGTGCAATTTTGCTTTTAAATTCAATTTTGAAATTTAGACGTTAGGTTTTTTAATCCTCACTTGAGATATTTATTAATATTTAGTGAGAGAGAGGAAGGGGGAAAGAGAAGTTATAAGGCTGAAACTTTATTTCATATAAAAAGTTTAAAAAGTGTAGCGAAAAACCCATGAGGTTTGAAAGGACCACACTGACATTACTGTGAAGACATACAGGGCATTTGAAATAATTAGTATCCAGGCCCAGGCTGGGTAGTTCAGGTGGTTAGAGCATTGTCCTGATATGCCAAGGTTGTGGGTTTGATCCCCAGTCATGGCACATACAAGAAGCAGCCGATGAATGTGTAACTAAGTGGAGCAACAAATCAATGTTTTTCTCTCTCTGCTTCTCTTCCTTATAAGTGAGTTATAGTTATTTTTAGTAGTTTATGTAAAAATAGTGGTAGGTGAAATCATGTTAAAATCCCAGCAGTACTAAATTAAAGGGGGAATCTCTTAATATATTTAGATAAGTTATTCTGTTTGAATAAATGCCACAGATTCTTTGTTGCACTGCATTATATTTGTTTATGTAGTGAATGCACTGTAGTTTTGAAGAACATGTTTAGTTTTTAAAGTGATCACATACAGAAGGTAGTTTCTGAGAGTGTGTTTTTGTTCTTAGGTGGGAAGACATATGATGCCATTGTGATAGATCCACCGTGGCAGAACAAGTCAGTTAAAAGAAGTAATAGGTGGGTATGAACAAGTTTTTTATTAGATATGTTTTCTAAAAGCTATTGTTTTTTGTACATTTTATTTACATATGCTAAAGCATTAGTTTATGACAGAGTTTGTCTCAAACTAAAGCACTTCCACTTAAAAATTTTAATTTCCTGAAGTAGATAATTTCTTGAATTAGCTATACAGAGATTGGCAAAAGTAGGTTTTTAGTTGTGAGTATAGTTGAGAGTTTATTCTTGTATTATTATTTATTAATTATTGTGTTATTTATTTGTATTATAACTATAAACCTACTTTTGCCCACCCCTGTATACAGGTGTAAGGAATGACTGAGGTTACTGACTGAACCAGTTCAGGGACATTTCTGTAACAGCACAGAGCAGCATTTTTGCCTTCGTTGACCTCACCTTCTAAAGTTTAGCAATACTTTGTACCAAAATACATTGATAGATTTCCTTAATAGTCTGACCATTGCCCTGACTGCTGGAGGTAATCTGTGTCATACCTGTTAGGACTGTCCTTGTGTAGCGTGGGTACGGATGGGTGGAATGGTCATCATTTGTTGAATAGGTGGTTTTTTTCTCCCTTGCTTTTCATATTACAATTGTGTTAAATGCAAAAGAATCAGAGAGTCTAGTTTTGTAATATTCTTTGGCAATGTGTTCCAGTTTTCTTCAAGAATTATTTTTAAAAGTATATAGCTTTTTAAAAAGTTATATACTTTTGCTTCTTTTATTTTAATGAAAATGGATTTTTTGTTTTAGATCTTATTCTTTAATACTCCATAGAAGTTGTCTTTTTTTTAATCCTCACCTGAGGATATGTTCATTGATTTTATTTCACTTATTTTATTTTATGTTTTTTATCCTTACCCAAAGACATACTTATTGATTTTTAGAGAGAGGGGAAGGGAGGGGGAGAAACATCGATGTGAAAGAGAAATATTGATCTTGTTGCCTCTCCTACCCTGCCCGACCAGACAGAACATGCAACCTAGGCATGTGCCCTGACTGGAAATGAAACTGTGACCTTTTGGTTTACCAGATGATGCTCCAACTGAGCCACACAAGCTAGGGCTGTTGATTTATTTTATTCTTTTTAAAGATTTTATTTATTTATTTTTGGGGAGAGGGAAAGGGAGTAAGAAAGAGAGGGAGAGAAACATCAGTCAGTTGTCTCTTGCGCACCCTCAACTGCGTACCCGGTTTGCAACACAAGGAATGTGTCCTGACTGGGAACATTTTGGTTTTCAGGCCAACAATGCTAAATCCACTGAGCCAAACCCGCCAGGGCCTGTTAATTGATTTTAGAGATAGAGGAAAGGAGAGAGAGAAACATCAACGTGAGAGAGAAACGATTGGTTGCTTCCCTTACACACCCTGACTGGTGATTGAATCCCTAACCCAGGTATGTGCTCTGACCTGGAATTGAACTTATAACATTTTGGTGTATGGGATGATGCTCCAACCAACTCAGCACCCTGGGCAGGGTATTCAGTAAAGTTTTAAAAAAGTGAACAAATATTTGATCTTGTTAAAGCATTTTTGGGGAACAGATTTTTTATAATTCTGAGTAATAGACTCCTTCATTTAAAACATTTTATGATTGCCTGAGCTGGTGTGGCTCAATTGTCTGGGTGTAATCCCGTAAAATTAAAGGTCACCATTTTATTCTTGGCCTTGGCATAATAAGTGTGGGTTCCAGGTATGTCCCGGGTGGGGATGTGTGAGAGGCAACTGATTGATATTTCTCTCTCACATCAATATTTCTTTCATTTTCTTTCTCCCTCCCTTCCCGTCTCTCTAAAATAAATAAATAAATAAATAGATAGATAGATAGATAGATAAATATTTTTTAAAATAAAGCATTTTATGATAGTTTTACAGAGCACATTTTGAAAGTTTTGGTTTTCTTTCCCATTTATCTTGCAGATGTATATTTGTGACATCTTTATTGTGACAATTTACTGTATTGTTTCTTTCCATTAACTTTTGATTTAAAAACATTCCAAACTTTTAGAAAAGTTGAAAGAATAGTACATGAATATCAAATTGCTTCCCCCCTAGATTTACCAGTTATTAATATTTTACTACATTTGTGTGTATTATGTCTCTGTCCACATTTCTGCTTTTTTATCTGATGTTGCAGATACTATCATTTCAACACAAATTTTTTAGCATTCATCTTGTGAAAAACAAGGACATTCTCCAACATAACTTCAATACTGTTATTGTCCCAAGAAAGTTAATATTTATTATAAAGATAGATTTATCTAGTTATTTTCCAACTTTTCCTTATGGCTATATAATTTTTTTGCTATTTAGGTACAAGAGCTAATCAAGGAATGCTCATTGCACTTGATCCTTAAAAAACATTTTTTTTAATTAAAAAAAATTTTTAATGTAGAACAGTCTTCCAGTCATTTTTTATCTTTAGGACATTGACTCTTGTTTTAAAAATATTGTGATCTGTTCATTATAGCTTTGACAAATGTATTACTAAGACAGAATCTGACCAAAAATATGTGACCTATATATACTCTGAAAATTATAAAATATTTTTGAGCCCTGGCTGGTATAGCTCAGTGAATTGAGCGCAAGCCTGTGAAGCAAAGGGTTGCAGGTTCGATTCCCAATCAGGGCACATGCTTGAGTTGCGGGCCAGGTCCCCAGTGGGGGATGCATGAGAGGCAACCGCACATTGATGTTTCTCTCCCACTCTTTCTCCTTCCCTTCCTCTCTCTCTAAAAATAAATAAATATTTTTAAAAATAAAATATTTTTGAGAAAAATTAATGAGTTTTAAAAATTTTATTTTAAATTTTATTTGCCATACAATATTATAATACTTTCAGGTGTGGAACATGGTGATTAGACATTGATATACCTTATGTCATGGTCACCCCAATAAGGCTGGTACCATTTTGCATCATACCGAGTTACTACAATATTATTGAGTATATTTCCATAGAAGAATCTTAAGGAGAATCTTAATAAAAGAACATGCCACATATATAAACTGAAAGACTGAATATATTTAAAAAAATGTCTTTCCCTGAATTGTCTAGGTTTTGTACAATCTCAAACATAATCTCAGAAGAGATTTTATTTCTGGTGAAAATAGACTAACTTGATTCTGTAATTTAAATGGTAACAATGCAAAGGGCCAAAAATAGCCAATTAAAAAACTTTAAGTATATTCGATATATAACCTTATATTGGTTATATTAGTTTCAGGTGTACAGCATAGTGATTTGACTTATTTTTTTTTTTTTTTTTTTTTATTTAGTTACTTTTCAATACATTTCCCTCCCCCCCCCCCCGTCCCCCCCCCATCTGTCTTTCATACTTGTTCCTCAAAATCCCTCCCCCTTTTTCCCCTCAAGTTCCCTTCCCTCTCCCTGATTTGACATTTTTTACCTTACAGTGTGGTCACGCTGATAATTCTAATAATCACCTGTCACCATGCAAACTTTTCACAATATATTGACTGTATTCCCTGTTCCTTTTCACTCATCCTCTCATCTCCTCTCTTCAGGTAACCATCTCTTTCTTTGGTCTCTGTTTCTATGACTCATTTTGTCTTTTTTTTAATTAATTTTTTTTAGATTCTACATATAAAGGAAACAATATGGTATTGTCTTTCTCAGCCTGACTTAATTCACTTAGCAAAGTACCCTCTAGATCCACTCATATTGCAAATGGCAATATTTCATTCTTTTTTATTGCTGTGTAATATTCCATTGTATGTGTATCACATCTTTATTCACTCATCTATCGATGGACACCTATGTTGCTTCCATGTCTTGGCTACTGTAAATAATGCTGCAGTGAACATAGGGGTGCATATATCTGTTCAAATTAGTGTTCTCATTTTCTTTGGATAAATATCCCAAAGTGGAATTGCTGGGTTGTATGGTATATTTGTTTTTAGTTTTCTTAGGGAATCTCTTTACTGTTCTCCATAGGAGCTATACCAGTTTACAGTCTCACCCAAAGGGTTCCCTTTTCTCCACATCCTCACCAACATTTATTTGTTGACTTTTTGATGAAAGCCATACTGACAGGTGTGAGGTGTGATCTCATTGTGGTTTTGATTTGCATTTCTTTGATAGTAATGTTGAACATCTTTTCATATGTCTGTTGGTAATCTGTATGTCTTCTTTGGAGAAATGTTTTTTCATGCCCTTTACCCATTTTTCTATCAGATCGTTTATTTTTTATTGTTGAATTGCGTGAATTTCTTATACATTTTAGATATTGACCCAGATCAGATATATCATTTGTGAATATAATGTCTCTTTCAGTAGGTTTATTTTTGTTTTGTTGAAAGTTTCTTTCACTGTGCAGAAGCTTTTTAGTTTGATAAAGTCCCATTTGTTTATCTTTTGCTTTTGTTTCTCTTGCTCAAGGGGATGTATTAAAAAAGATATTACTTAGACTGATGTCAAATCATTTACTTTCTATGTTTTACTCTAGGACTTTCATGATTTCAGGCCTTACATTTAAGTCATTAACCCATTTTGAGTTTGAGTTTATTTTTGTAGCCAATGAAATTTTGAAGGCATATGTCAAAGTTGAAAGACTTACACTACCCATATGAAGACCAATGAAAAAAGCTACAACTAAGATTGCATTCCTATGTCAGGATAAACAGGTGGAACAATGACATATAATAGAGAACAGAAATAAATTCTCACATATATAGCATAGTGGCTAGATAATCACATATCCTACAAAGTGTTCCCCCTGATATTTTCAGTATGCACCTGGCACTGTACATAGTTTTACAGTGTTATTGACTATATTCCCAATGCTGTGCTTTATATCACCATAACTATTTTGTAACCACCAATCTGTAATTCTCAATGCCTTCACCTTTTTCATCCAGTCCCCCAAACTCCCTCCACTCTGGCAACCATTAGTCTGTTCTCTGTATCTATGAGTCTTTTTCTGTTTGTTTGTTCATTTATATTGTTCTTTAGATTCCACATATAAGTGAAATCATAAAGTAATTGTCTTTCTTTGACTGACTTGTTTCACTGAGCATAGTACCTTTTATCTGGGTCCATTCATGCTGTCACAAATTGTAAGATTGATACACTGACCTTTTTTTTAAGTGTCTGTGCCCCTTGTTTGTAGATATCCCACAATTTGGAATTTTTTATTATTTCTTTGTTATTAGAATCCTATTGAACCTTTTGGGAAGAATATAACATAGTTGATGTTGCATACTTTCTTTTTTTAAATTATATTTTATTGATTATGCTGTTACAGTTATCCCAATTTTTCCCCCTTTGCTGCCTTCCACCAAACACCCCCCTCACCCTCCAGTAATCCCCACACCAGTGTTCATGCTTATAGGTTCTGTGGCTACTCCATTTACTATTCTGTACTTTATATCTCATGGCTATTCTGTAACAACCTGTTTGTACTTCTTAATTCCTCACCTCTTCACCCATTTCATCAACCCACCTCCCATCCGTCAGCCATCAAAATGCTTTCTGTATCTATGATTCTGTCTGTCTTGTTTGCTTAGTTTATTTTTTAGATTCGGTTATTAATAGATAAGTATTTATTGCCATATTGTTGTTTTGTTTATAGTTATGATCTTCTTTTTCTTAAATAAGTCCCTTCAACATTTTATGTAATAATGGTTTGGTGATGATGAACTCCTTTAATTTTTTTCTTGTTTGGGAAGCTCTTTCTCTGCCCTTTGATTCTAAATGATAACTTTGTTGGGTAGAGAAATCTTGGCTGTAGGTACCTACTTTTCATGCCTTTGAGTATTTCTTGCCAGTCCCTTGTAGCCTGCAAAGTTTCTTTTGAGAAGTCAGCTGACAGTCTTACAGAAACCACTTTGTAGATAATTCTCTACTTTTGCTGCTTTTAAGATTCTCTCTTTATCTTTAATCTTTGGCATTTTAATTATGGTGTGTCTTGTAGTGGACCTCTTTGTATCCATCTTGTTTGAGACTCTCTGTGCTTCCTGGACTTGCATGTCTACTTCCTTCACTGATTTAGGGAATTTTTCTTTCATTATTTATTTTTTCAAATAGTTTTCCAATTGCTTGCATTTTCTTCTCCTTCTGGTAACCCTATAGGCAAATGTTAAACCTCTTAAAGTTGTCCCAAAGATTGTTTATACTGTCTTCATTTTTTAAATTCTTTTTTCTTCTTTTTGTTCTATGTGGTTGGTTTTTGCTTCCTTATGTTCCAAATTATTGATTTGATTCTTGGGTTCATCTGCTCTACTGTTGTTTCCCTGTGAATTGTTCTTTATTTCAATTAGCATATCCTTTGTTTCTGATTGGGTCTTTTTTATGCTGTGGAGGTCCTCACAAAATTCCTTGAGCATCCTTATAACCATTGTTTTAAACTCTGCATCTGATAGATTGCTTATCTCCATTTCTTTTAGCTCTTTTTTCTACAGTTTTGATCTGTTCTTTCATTTGGACCATGTGTCTTTGTCTCCTCATTTTGGCAGTCTCCGTGTATTTGTTTCTATGTATTAGGTAGAGCTTCACTGACTCACTGTCTTGGTAGCATGGTCTAATATAGTGGGTGTCCTATAGGGTCCAGTCACCCAAGCTGGGTACTTGGACTGTGCCTTTTGTGTGGGCTGAGACACCCTCCTGTTATAGTTGAGCCTTAATTGCTGTTGGCAGATCAATGGGAAGGATTTACCCAGGCCAGTCAGCTGCAAGGATTGGTTGTAACCACTGACCACTACCCTCCTTCTGTGGAGGATAAGCTGTGCAGCGGCAGGGTGGTGGTACTCCACTGTGGTCTGTAGCTGTCCACTGGGTACATTGGCTTAGGGGTTTCCTGGGTGGTATGGGCCAAGGTCAGCCCCCAACTGTGTTTTGCCCAGGGCCACTCTGCCTGAATTATAAAGCAGTTTGAGATGACTGATATTTGTGCTGGGCTTGGAGATTCCCAAGTGAAGCCAAGCTGTGAAACTAGGCTGACTGCTGCTAGTAATGGGCCTGGGGCTCTTTAGCAGGAGGTGTGGAGGCTGGGGACTCACAGAGGCTGGCTGTTGCTTGTTTGATTTAGGATTTAGGAAGTTGTGAAGCATGAGCCAAGACCACTTGTTCATATTGAAAAGAAGCTTGGGTGGGCCTGTAAGTTGCATGAAAGTGAGTCTCTAGGGATCTCCAGGGCAGGGCAAAGAATGTTAGCTGTGTTGATGGGGTCTCAGGTATAGTACCAACCAGCTGGCTCTGTGACTGTGTTTGGGGAGGGTTCAGAAAAGGGACAGTGGCCTCTGCCTTCCTTTCTCTCTGGGAGAAAGCTGTCAGCCAGCTCTTGCCTTGATGCCAGACACTTCAGTTTCTCCCTGTATGCCCCTGGTGCTTTTTAGGCTGCTACCCCAGTGCTAGAGCTCAGTGGAGTGAGTCTGAATAAGTCCATGTGTGGGGTCTTTAAGAGGAATTGCTTGGAACTCCAGAAGTTTCTTTCTTCAACTCAATCCCTGCTGGTTTTTGCAACCAGAAGTAAAGGGGACTTACCTTCCTAGCACTGGAACCCTGGCTGGGTGGCCTGGCTTCGGGCTGTTATTCCTCACTCCCAAGATATCCCTTTAGATTTTTTTATCCACCACACGTCATCGTGGGACCAGCCTGTTCTGTATTTCCACCTCTCCTACTAGGTTGGCTGTGGTTCTTTAATTCTGTAGTTGTCAAACTTACATTCTACTAGATTTCTGATGGTTCTGAGTGATGGTTCTCTATTTTAGTTGTAATTTTGATGTGGTTGTGCAAGGAGGTGAGCTGTGTTATGCCTCCATCTTCACCAGAAGTCTCCATACTTTGTATTGCAACACAAAGATGGAATTTGCTCAGTGATTTCCAGGAGATTACAGCTAGAAAATGAAGAATGACTATTTCCTCCTTTTCCTTCAATAATCAACCTAATTAAATAAAATTAAGGCAATTAAAAAATCTGCAGTTATGGGGATCATCAAAGTTCAAGTTTTTGACCTGCGTTCTTCATACTGTGGCAAACTTATCTTTTAAAATAATCATTTTGATTATAAAAAAGTGCTAATCTAGTGGAAGACCACTGATCTGGATAGCAGGAATCTTGGGTACTTGAAATATTCATTGATCACTTCCCGACATCCTACAGTTGCCATGTGTTAGAACTGGATCCCAATGTTTATTGCATTTGGCCATTTGGATGTTACTTACTTTTTTCAGAGCAGCTATAATAGTAGAAGCCTCATTGTAGCCAACTGAGCAATAAAGGAGAGACAGCAGAAAGACTAAATGCATACCAATCCTTACTTTAGCTAAAGACAGAAGGAGCCCAAGTTGAGGGAAATTCTCTTCTTTTTTCTCTTCTCTTCCTTCTCGCCTCTTTCTTTTTTTACAATTGAAAAGTTTAAACATCTTTATAGGCTTATGGCAAGGAACTAGAGAGGTCGAAGAACAGAATGAAGGAGTAATTAGTATTACAAGATACTATAAGATGGGACTAGGAGAACACACCTGGAGATAGAAGCTTTAAATAGGCGAAGCCATGCCATTTCTCTTCAGAGGAGATGTGTAGAAATAGGTAAGTGAAGGAGTAGAGCCAGGGAGAAGGTTATGTAGTTGGAGGAGTCTGGTGGCCTTTCTGTCAAGAGTGAATTTGGGCAAGGGACTTGGAAAGAAATGAAAATTTGTAGTAATTTACCAAGAATAAGTAAAAGAATTAAGTAGTTTTGAGAGCCTGCGAATGGATTTAAATTAGTAAATTCTTTAGTTCTCTATTTTTCTCAGCCTGGTCTCCTCCATATAAAGAATTTGAATTGTGTTGAAGTTTAATTGAATTTAAGTTTGGAGTTTTGCAGGAGATGTGGGGTGGGATGGGAGTAGGTGCTAGTGACAAGGAAATTAAGTGACAGTCTGTGGGGAAGGAAGAAACTGATAGACTCAGTAGAGTGGAGGAATGGCACATTGACTAGACGGTTTGATAAGGTCAAGGAATAGGGGAAGGATAGGGCGTTATGGCTAGAGATCCGTGTTTGTGGTTTCAGAGATGGAACAAGTATGAGTGATGGCAAGGTCTAGGTTATGGCGATCGGAATGGATTTATGAAGTGGGGTGAATGCAGTTGTATTTATTTAAGGGAAGAATAGTTGAAGTCTGTACACTATACAGATTTTTGCTTTGAAATTGCCTGGGATAATGGCAAGATTTATATTGGTGAGATAGAGAGTCTCAGTGCTTAAGTCATTACATATGGAGAGGGAAGATGAAATTGGTTCTGTAAGAAACACTGGAGCCCTGGCTGGTGTGGCTCAGTGGACTGAGTGCTGGCCTGCAAGCCAAAAGGTCACTGGTTCTATTCCCAGTCAGGGCATATGCCTGGGTTGCAGGCCAGGTCCCCGGTTAAGGGTTTGCTAGGGGCAACAAGTTGATGTATCTCTTGTACTTTGATGTTTCTGTCCCTCTCTTTTCCTCTCTCTAGAAATAAATAAATAAAATCTTTTAAAAAAAAGAAACATTAGAGTCTGGCAAAGCTGGATAGCATACCTCTCAAATTGAAGGGGATTTTATGCAAAGGTGTATGAGTTATATCCTGGAAGCAGCAGTAGGGGAGCTAGGAGAATGCTGACCTCTCTTCTCCCTGTTGTGTATATTGAGTGTTGGTGAAAGGGCCATTGAGTATGGCCCAAAGGGTGATTGAATATTGTAGAGCAAGTAGTATTCTAGTGATAGAAATTCGACTTCATACTATTAATGTGTAGGAGGTGCAAGACTGTAATTTTAAATTATTTTTATCTTATTGTTTATGGTAATGAAAGCATGAGGGTTTCAGAGAGCACAGTGTAATTGACTACGAAGAAAGAAAGAAGCAGATTGATAGACTGAGGGTTGAAAATATGGTAGACTATTGAGACAGTAGTGTCAGGACTCACTGTGCTGGGGTCCCTGTGTAATGTATAGATTATGAAAACCAAACAGTAATGGTAAAAAGCATATTGTAAATATTAGTAAAATTACTGAAATGTAATGTACTTAGGAATGATAAAGAAATAATAGCCTGACAGTTTTAAACAATAAAAACAACAAATGAAGTTATTTCTGACCTGCATGGACTAATTTGTCCACTGGATGTCACTGTGACCTCATATTTAGTAATACAAATAAATACCTACGTGGGCTTTGTGTTTGTGGAGTCAGTATTATACAGATCATCTTCCTGCTTATTTTTCTTTTTTGCAGCAAATTTTGCTAATATTTTTTGTGTTTATTTTTAGGTATAGTTATTTATCACCACTGCAAATAAAGCAGATACCTATCCCTAAACTGGCTGCTCCAAACTGTCTTGTTATTACTTGGGTGACTAACAGACAGACACACCTACGTTTTGTAAAGGAAGAACTTTATCCTTCCTGGTCAGTGGAGACAGTTGCTGAATGGCACTGGTTAAAAGTAAGTTCAGAAATTAACTTTGTTGTTGATATAGTGTGACTTATTAAGTCACATTAAGGTAGCATTAATATTCAACTCTTAACATGTCACTGCTCTACTCCTTCAACATGGAATACTTTTACTTTGCTGCTAAATACTTTAATTTTTTTATTCATAAGGCTTTGATTGTTCTCTGTATTTTTTGGAACAGAGTCCCAATCCGCTAGCCCTAGTAAATCACTCAAGAAAGACATCAGGATGACATTTTAAAAAGCTCTGATGTCTGTACTTAAAAAAACAAAAAACAACTTCATGGAATCTGACCATCTCGAAACACAGAGGTAACCTTACCCTTCATCTTGTTCCTCTTTATACATCCACAATTTTAGTCACCCTTTTTGACTTTTTTCCCTAATACTCTTCAGCTGGAGATTGGAGGGAGAATAGCAAAGTAAACCAGTGTGGAAGAGGTGGGAAGGATACTGCTAGAACCAAGAACTTTTCACCCTTTAAATCTTAACTTAGGTCCTTTAACGGCCTTATGACCTGCTTGTTTTTGAAAAAAATGTTTGCAACTCTCAAATTGGTTGAATGGTCTTCTATCTGTGCTTGCTATAAGCATACCAAAAAAATTAAGAAAACTTGTTATCAGTTCAGAGTTCATTGGACATCCTTTTAAAGATACATTTTTTACTTAGATCTAAGAATTCCACAAAAGCGCTCCAAATTTTAAAAAGATAAGCCAATTATTATTAATTGGAAATTTAATATTTATATAGTTGGTGTATCATTTTAGATATAGGAGAGTTCTGTTTTTATGTGCTTTGTTTTTACTTTGTGATCTACTAGAATGTCTTATAAAAGCTGTGTACATTATTTTTTGCACCTATTAAATGGGACTTGGAAAACAAACAGTTGTAATTTATAGTTACATCTTTACTGTCATGACATATTTGGGTTTAGCTTTGGTAGATTGGGTAAGAGGACCTTAACAAGAAAATAAAACCCCATTCCACCCTGTCCATTATGACAGTTCTTTAAATAGTCAGAGCCAAAGCCAGGAAAAGTTAACCTTCTAAAATTAAAACCAGTAAAATGTTAATACGTAAAAACGAATACTATTCAGTTGTGGTAAGAAACAGTTGTGAGAGATGGTTTGGTGACACCAGAGTTAAAAGCAAAAATACAATATATTATATGAAACACTATTAATTATACATATAGTAAAACAGAATAAGTAATTTGCATTGAGTATTAAAAAAAATCCAAAGACTGAGAATGTCCAGTGCTTTTACATATGGGGTTAAAGGCTGCGTAGATAAAAGATGTGAGGGGGGACCCCAAAAATATGGAATTTATTTATAAAAAGTTGTATATTTATCTTACATGTTTAAATCTCAGTCACCTTCAAAGTACTCTCCATCTGATACAACACACCTATCAAGACTTTTCCCTCCACTACTCAAAATAGTTTTTGAACTTGTCAATTTTGAAGACTTTTAGTGCTTCTGCTGTTTTTTGTTTTACATTTTCCACATTGGAAAAATGTTTCCTTTTGAAGGCTTTTTTATATGGGGAAACAAAAAAGTCTCTTGGGGTGAGATCAGGTGACTAGGGAGGGTGGGGCATGGGAGTCATGCCATTTTTGGTCAAAAACTGCTGAACACTCAGTGTGGTGTGGGCAGGTGTGCTTGTAAATTGCCCATCATGAAATAGGCAAATGTGTCGAAAGTCTTCAAAAAAATTCACTGCATCTGAATGTGGCCTCTTGCAATAATACCAGCTGGCACACTGACACAGATGGGTTCCTAAAAAAAAAACGTTCACTTTGTACTACAATGGGCCCACCCTCCAGAAGATAATTCTGTTTCCCCCCTATATGGGTATTCTGATGACAAAAATATATATATCTTCATAGTTAATTAATGAATTCATAGTCTTAGTATAAACCATGTTTTGAATTTGATTAGCTTGAGTCTTTGAGAGTCTGATCACTCCAGGGTGAAATGATAAAATTGATATCTGAATTTATAACGCCAAAGGATTGGACTATTATCTATCTCATCAATCCCTGAGTTTCTCTCATTATTAATTTTAGTTCTGACTGTATTTAATGACTCTCTTTCCTATAAAGGAAAATATTACAATCTACTTAGTCACATTGCCAGTAATCATTAAATATTATTAGAATGAATGAATAAATGAGTTAATGATGGTATTTCCAGGAATAAATGTTAATGAAAAATAGAGATTTTTCTGTGCAAAATGACAAAGTGATATTTGAAATATATTTAGTTCCTTACAGTAGCTCTGTCCAATATGGTAGTTACTGTGTGGCTCCAAACTGAGATGAGGTATTAAGTGTAAAATATTAGATTTCAAAGGTTTATTATGAAAGAATATAACATCTCAATAACTTTTTGAATGGTAATACTTCAGATATGTTAAATTAAAGATATAATTAAAATCAATTTCACTGCAATTTTTACTTTTTAAAATGTTGCTACTAGAAAATTTAAATTACATATGTGGCTTGAATTTGTGGCTCACATTATATTTTTATTGGACAGCAGTAACCTGGAGATTTAATAATTTATTTTTCTTTGGGGAAAATATAGGGGGAAAAAACCCTTTCTGGGATATTTACAGATTTTTTTTTATTCCTTCTTATCAGATAACCAATTCAGGAGAGTTTGTATTCCCATTAGATTCTCCACACAAAAAACCTTATGAATGTCTTATACTGGGGAGATTTCAAGAAAAAACTGCTTTACCATTAAGGTAGGAAAGGTGATTTTTTAAAATGATATAAATGTATTAATTTTTAGGGTTTCCAAAATTATTAACAAAATGATCATTGATTTTCCTTAATTTTACATTTTTGAAAATCTAAAAGTGACCCACACCAGAAAAGTATGAGTGGTATTGTCACAGGTAACCAGGTTCTTGGTGACTGGGACAAAGGATTGACCCGAACACCCAGAGTTTATAGCAGAGAACATTGGGAGCAGGCCACCTCCAAGCGGAGACTGACATCCTGGGCTGGAGGGACTCTGTTCTTACAGGGCGGATCCTTCCTAGCTAGTTTTGGCGGGCTTTTACTGCACCTGTACAAGTAGTCGTATGACTTTAAAGGTCGTGTACAATGTGGTCTCCCATGAGTTTTCCTGATTGGCTGCCAGGGAAGGGGGCCCCACAATGTCACTGAATGGACCCCCCCTTCTCCTGGGGTTCCTTTATACTAGGTTCATTATACAGACTGAAGAGTAATGACTTAATGTCTTCATCAAAATCCCAAAGTCCCTTAAAACACCCACAAACACAGTCCTTCCTTCTCCCCTTTGCCAGGTCTGGGGTACTGTATCTCAGGAAAAGAAATAGAAGTTCATGGCTCAGGCAGCCCCTGGTTCTTCCCAGTAATCGTGCTTAGCTGGCAGGCCTCCTTCGGGTCCTGGTACCATCAGCAGTGTTGTCAGGACCTCCAGTTCTTATTCCAAAACCACATGGCACCTTCTCATGGCCCACCAGCAAGAGTTCTTTCACCCCTTTCCTTCCTGCAGCGTCTCTCCTGCATTCTTCCGACTGCTAAGGGAGAGAGAGCTCTGCACCGCTGCTACAGCTTGCTTTCCAGCTTCCTAAGCTGTGTGGCAAAGGGAGACCGAAAGCTGCATGATTGTCCTCTGCCAAAGCTGAGTGGTGATCCTCTCCTAAAGCTGAGTGGTGATTCTTTGCCAAAGCTGTGTGGCAGTTCTCAGCTAAAGCCACGTGGCGGTTCTTGTCAAGGCTGCCGCACCTGGGTGTAAATCCCAGCGCTAGTCTTCCTCTGCAGCCCCATTTCTGACTCTTCCCACAGTCAGCTACACTTGCCAGCACACCTGTATTTTCCAGCTTTTCTGGACTGCCATAGTGAGTCTGGGCAGCTGTGGCCCCATGACGTGGAGCCAGTCATCTCCAAGCTCTCACACAGGCTCTGTAACTAGGGGGGAGTTGCCTCCAGTTACATCTTGGGTGGAAGTTACTCCCGAGTTCCTGGCTCAAAACCTGGCCACAGCTATTTAACATGTCCATGAAACCAGTTTACAGTTATAGGTATGTTAAATGACCATTCTAGAGGTTATTTGCAACACTTGCTATGCAAAACAACTCAGTGACCCTGCTCCATGTATCCCATCCCCTAGCTCATACTTGGGGGGAGGACATCCCATATTTTTAGTATTTCCTGGACACCCTGAGTTCTGGACCCCATTATAAATCCCTCTTTTGGGGACCCCCTGGCTGCACCCTCTTACAATATGGCACATGAGATTTTATAATATTTTTTGTTTTATCTAGTGTGTAATTGTCATTATTATTGAAAAGGAAATTTTTGGAAATGTCTCCATACTTAAATTGTTGATATCCATTATTTTATTAAATTATTTTAAATTCAGATACTATTTGAAAAGTGAAAAAAGTTAAGGAAACTATAGCTTATATATAAAAATGTTCTTTAAAATATAATTTACTTTGTTGTTCTGTTTCAATTAGGAATGTGCTTCCCATTCCAGATCACAAGTTAATTGTCAGTGTGCCCTGTACTCTTCATTCACATAAGCCACCTCTTGCTGGTATGTTTTTATAAATAGAATTGTTATAACTCCGTCAAATTGAAGAAAGGATTGAATTTAGTATTTGAATAGTCTTGAGATTTGGGAATTAAATCAGATATGTTATTTTAATTAATATTCTAAAATTTTATAACAATTTATGAATAGGTTAGGGTTTCTTTTTTGTTTGTTTTTGTGTATGTGTATGTGTGTGTTTTTCTGCAAAAAGATTTATCATTGTCATTTGGTCCATGGCTTGGGAGAGGGTTCTATCATGGTGGTTAAAAAGCTGCCTAGTGGCTGCAGGAAGAGGCTCAGACAGAAGCCCTGACACCGGGGTGTTGCACATGGGCCCTTAAACGTTACCAGGCTCAGAAGGCTCCTTGTGCTCCAGGGTGAGCCTTTTTTAAAAAATTTTGGTTAGACACATATTTATTTATTTTTAAATTTATTTTATTAATTATGCCATTACAGTTCAATTCCCCCCTTCATTCCCCTCCACCCTGCACACCCCCTTCCCCACCATTCCCCCCTTTAGTTTATGACCATGTGTCTCAAGTTCTTTAGATTCTATATTTCCCATACTATTCTTGCCCTCCCCCCTATCTATTTTCCACCTACCGTCTATGCTACTTTTTTTCTGTACCTTGTTCCCCCTTCTCCTCCTCACACTCCCCTATTGCTAACCCTCCATGTGATCTTCATTTCTATGGTTCACTCCTGATCTAGCTGTCCTCTTAGTTTGCTTTTGTTTTAGGTGTGGTTCTTAATAACTGTGAGTTTGCTGTCCTTTCACTGTTCATCTTTTTGATCTTCTTTTCCTTAGGTAAGTCCCTTTAACATTTCATATCATAAGAGCTTGGTGATGATGAACTCCTTGAATTTGATCTTATCTGAGAAGCACTTTATCTGCCCTTCCATTCTAAATGAAAGCTTTGCTGGATAGATCAGTCTTGGATGTAGGTCTTTGGATTTCATGACTTGGAATACTTCTTTCCAGCCCCTTCTTGCCTGTAAGGTCTCTTTTGAGAAATCAGCTGACAGTCTGATGGGAACTCCTTTGTAGGTGACCGTCCCCTTAGCTCTTGCTGCTTCTAGGATTCTCTCCTTCATTTTAATCTTGGCTGATGTAATGATGATGTGCCTTGGTGTGTTCCTTCTTGGGTCCAACTTCTTTGGGACTCTCTGAGCTTCCTGGATTTCCTGGAAGTCTATTCCCTTTGCCAGATTGGGGAAGTTCTCCTTTATTATTTGTTCAAATAAGGTTTCCACTCGTGGCTGTTCCTCTTCCCCTTCTGGTACCCCTATAATTTGGATTTTGGAATGTTTAAAGATGTCCTGAAGGTTCCTAAGCCTCTCCTCATTTTTTTGAATTCTTGTTTCTTCATCCTTTTCTGTTTGGTCATTTTTTTCCTCCTTCTGGTCCACTCCTTTGATTTGAGTCCCAGTTTCCTTTCCATCACTATTGGTTTCCTGTGTATTTCCCTTCATTTCAATTAGTTTAGCCTTCATATGTTCCTCTAATTTGTGACTGTAATCAATCAGTTGTGTGAGCATCCTGATCACCAGTGTTTTGAACTGTGCATCTGAAAGTTTGGCTATTTCTTCATTGCTTAGATTTATTGGCTCTGGGGCTCTGAGTTGCTCTTGAGCCATGTTTTTATCTGTTTGTGCCTGTTACATATGGAGCAGAGCCTTAGGTGTTCACCAGGGTGGTGCCACCCAGGTTGCTGGTTTGTGACTCTGTATGTGGGGGCGGGGTCAGAGAGGGACAATGGTGGTCCCCTGTGCCTCTTCCTGCCGCTGGGGCCTGTGGTTCATCTCACTGATCTCTCCTTCACCGGTTTATCTGTGCACGAATGTGTGATCACGATCAGCCCTCAGTGCTCCACACCTGGGATCCGCCCACAGCTGCTGGCGCACCTGGGTCGCGGTCCTGGGTCAGTCTGGTCAGTCTTTCCTGCCCGACCTCGCTCTGCTGCTGGCTCTGCCCCTCTTACTGGTTTGGCTGAAGTGTTAAGTTGTCAGACTACCACGTAGTTCAATTTTCTGTGGTTTGGCTGCGTTTTGTTGCTAAAACTTTGTTGTTTTTAAACTTGGTTGAGTGAGAAGGCGCAGTGCTTCCACCTATGCCTCCATCTTGGCGGAAGTCCAGGGTAAGCCTTTTGAAGAGATGTTCATGCCCTGACCCAGTGGCTCAGTGGATTGAACGTGGGGCTGTAAACCAAAACATCACTGGTTCTGTTGAACACGAGAGACTTGGTTCTTCTTGCTGACGCATGTAAAGAATTACGTATCAGCAAATCTAGTGGTATGTAATCAGTTTATTAGTGGCTCGTTCTCATGGAAGAGAATAGGACTGGGTGGAGTAGGGGGTGAAAGGCAAAGTTTCAGGGCAAAGCAGGGAGACAAAAGCAAGAGCAGCTGAAGACCAGGGTGGCAAGCCCCTGGGCAGCCTGAGGTTGTGTGGCCAGACGCCCTGTGGCCCGAGAGCTAAGAGAAACCCTGAGCCCCTGAGCGAGAGAGAGCAAGTCCTTTGTTCTTAGGACTTACATAGTTGGTGGGATAGAAGGGAAAAAGTTACATATTGATTAACGGGTAAATGCAGTGCCAGCTTTCCCGGGGGAATGTGACTACCCAAACTTAGGTATGTGTGGGGGCCTGTTAGCCGGAATCCTTATCTTGCTCTATACCCCATTTGTTCATCTTGTTGTAAAACAATACGTGACAGGAGGCAGTTAATTAAAATTGGGGTACTTTCCAAAGTTATTTATGGGCTCTTTCTGTAAACATCAGGGACTCCCTCGTAAAACAGATAATGACCAGAGGTAGACAATTAACTAAAGTTGTTTTATGGGCTGGCTCTTTGGGGCACTGGGGACTCTCTCCCACATTCAGGCCTCGGGATGAAAGCACAGTTTCAAGGCTTTCTTTCCCAGATAGTGGAAATGTTACATAGAATTTCAAGGACTTCTCTTCTTTCTTGCTAACATAGTGTTTCTTGTGATGTTAGAACACCTGGCAATATTATTGGATCAAGCTCAGGACTGCTGAGTTAGCATGTGTGACTTGTCTCCTTCTTCCTCCCTGCCTCGGTTTACTGGTTTACTGTTTATTCTACCTAATTGGTAAAAGGCGTTTCCTGGCAACCAGAGTGATAAATGCTGGCCAGTAATAGTATTGCAGTCTCAGAGTTCTTCCTATGCTGTCTCCTGCTTCAGTACAATTCCAGTCAATGCACATGCTTGGGTTGTGGTCCAGGTACCCAGTTGGGGGCATACAAGAGGCAACCAATCAATGTTTCTTTCACACATAGATGTTTCTGTCTTCCTCTCTCCCTATCTTCCCCTCTCTCTGAAAATAAATAAATAAAGTCTTAAACTAAAAAAAAGATACTTGCTCAGCCCAGCCTGGGTGCTAGCCAGCCTGTAGAGGCGTCCGTTCCTATCTTCTTGATGAGTTTTACTTCCTCATCTAGAAAGTAGCTCTCCAAGATGGCACAGAGAAGGGGGTCTTTGCCAGCAGAACCCAGGGCATGCAGATCTAAAAAGGGGCTGGTTCGGGTTCTTCTCAAGGGCCATGGCGCCTTCCATGGTATGCACTTTTTTGGGGACAGCTTCTGCATGTCCTGGAATAGGGCTCTGCCAGACTACTGGTTTTGCATCTTTAAGAGATACATAGCCAACTTGTGGAATAAGTGGCCTCACATCCTCCAGAGCCATATTGTGGTGGGAATGGAAGCAAGAGAGGCAGGTGTAGGAGACTGACAGATGCAGGTTGACCAGGCAGCTGATGGAGGCCTATACCTGGGTGCAGTAATTCTGATGAATCTGAGCGCTCGTGCTTGGTGGGCCGTAGGAGCTAACCATGAAAAATGATATTTGCTGGTCCTGGAGGCTGAGACTGGAAAGGAGGTTGGAAGGTGGTCATGGGACTAGAAGAAGGGGAGTCCTCTGGTCTGTTCCATCTAAATGCTATTAAGGCAAGAGACAGATTAGTTTTATATTACCTCAGCCTTTCCTCTTAAACCATTTTTTTAGGTTCTCTGTGCTATTGGTTGCTACTCCATCCCTGGCCTGGACAGAATAAATACTGATGGGGCCTCTGAGGAATGTAGTTCAACTAGGAGCTTTGTTTTACTACTAGGGCTCTGTCCTTTGCTTGTTCTAAAACCAGAAGCTCAGAACACTTGGAGATAAGGTTAGAATTCCTTCATTATTTGCTAGAGGCTCTAGGGATTTTACGTTGAGATGGTGTTGCTTTTCTGAACCATTGGAAATGTAATTGTTGCAGCTTGCAATTCTTACTAGTCTTTTTTTAAAAAAAAGTTTCTGAATATTTATATATTTATTTTTTAAAGTCTTTTAAAAAATCGTTGTTCAATTACAGTTGTCCCCATTTTTCTTCCATTACTCTCCCCTGCCCTACCGACCCTCCATCTTCCACATTCCATCCTTCGTCCCTGCCCCTCCTACCCCTTCGGTGTCTTTGTCCACGGGCCCTTTATACAAATTCCTCGACTTGACCATTCCCCTTCTTTCCCTCATTATCCCCTCCCCCTCCCTTCTGGTCACTGGCAATTTGTTCTTTATTTCCATGTCTCTGGTTCTGTTTTGCTCGCTTGTTAGTATAATGTTCATTATTCAATGAAACTAAGTAGCAAGGAATAGTGGAAAGTTTTAGCTTTGGAGATTGAATGGCATGAGTTTGAATCCTGGCTCTGTTCCTTGAGATGCTGTCATCTTTTTCCACCTGAAAGCCCTCATTTAAATAGGGATAATGATATCTAATCTTTCAGATTTGTGAGGATTGGTTATATTTAAAACTCTGTAGCAGATAGTAGAAGCTCATGAATACTAAATTTTGAGTGAGAGTTAAAAAATAGAATCTAAGTCCTTGAGAGGTACTGAATTTGATATGCAAAGTTTACTATTCAAATAATTTCTCCAGTAATATATATTTCATTAATTTGGTAATCCCTGCTTTAAAAAACCTCAAACTTTTCAAGCTGTCACTCAGGA